CAAGATATGGAAGACAATGCCAAGTGGCCAACAGCTCTTTGAAAAAGGCAGAGGACATAATCAGGGGAAGAATATTTCTGTCCCATCCTACAGCCTCTGCTTTGAAAATTTACATTTTATATAATCATTATTAAAGGTCAGTTTTGGTGTTTTCATTTTTGTTCAGTTTCACTGAAGGTTATAATCACTAGAAAAGCTATACAATGTGGTAACAAGGAAGGGCTTTGGAATCATTAGCAATGGTTTAAGTCCCAGCTCTGCTACTTCCTTGCTATGTGACAAATGACAAGTCATAACCTCTCCGAGCCTCAGATTTCTTCCCTATAATGTTTTTTCAAAGTTCAGATTGTCCCTTCAGTGGGTTTTAAAATCAATTTAGTGGCTTGTAAATAATATTTTTTAAGTAAAAAAAAAAAAAAAAAGTAGATGACTACATGTAATAAGGACAAGTACTATACCATCAAAGTATGGTTTCAGATATAGATATTGATACATAGATATATATACAAGTACGTGTATAATGGATTACAATATAAAATATCTTTCTTACAGAGGATAATGGTCAAAACCATTTGAACACAACTGACCTATAAAATGAAACTATCAGGTGTGTAATGTTATGTTCGGTATTTTTCACAGTATTTGAAAAAATCAAATAATATGGGATAAATGTTAGCAATTAACCCTACTAGAGTCAGAATACCTGAATACAACCTTACTTAAGAATACTGGGAAGGGGGGACTTTCCTGGTGGTCCAGTGGTAAAGAATCCACCTTACAATGCAGGGGGCGTGGGTTCGATCCCTGGTCAGGGAACTAAGATCCCACATGCCGCAGGGCAACTAAGCCTGCAGGCCACAACTACTGAGCTCGTGCGCCTCAACTAGAGAGCCTGAATGCCGCAAACTACAGAGTCCACGCACCCTGGAGCCTGCGCACCACAACTAGAGAAGAGAAAACCTGCATACCACAACTAGAGAGAAGCCCGTGCACCACAAAGAAGAGCCTGCACACTGCCAACAGAAGATCTCGCATGCCTCAACGAAGATCCCGCATGCCACAACTAAGACCTGACGCAGCCATACAGACATACATACATACATAATCTTTAAAAAAAAAAAAAAAAAAAGAATACTGGCAAACGGACTTCCCTGGTGGTCCAGTGGTAAAGAATACGCCTTCCAACGCAGGGGAGGCGGGTTCAATCCCTGGTTGGGGAACTAAGATCCCACATGCCACAGGGTAGCTAAGCCCGTGTGCCACATCTACTGAGCCGGCAGGCCTCAACTAGAGAGAGAAAATAGAAGGAAGCCTGCATGCCACAGTGAAGAGCCCACGCACCTCAACAAATATCGTGCATGCCGCAACTAAGACCCGACACGGCCAAAAAATAAAAAGAATACTGGGAAAGTTCCTCTTTACTTGTCAATTTCAGATTCCCATCAGTATGCCCTTAAGTATATCATATAAATGAAACAGCCATCATCAACTGCCAAGAACACGTCCTTCAAAGTTACTGACACAGAAAGATCAGGTCTAATTAAGAACTGAATTTTAGCCTAAATTAATACAGAAAACCAGCATACAAAACCTTATCCACACAACAGTGATGTTGTGAAAACAACAAGACTCCTGTTGAACGAGCCCTCTTTGATGTGGAAAGAGCAATGAAACCAATGGTTGCCCCAGCATTCTTGTAAAAGAAGTATCATTCTGCTAGGACACCTAGAGCTGGCCACTAACATGCGAAAGCCTTGGCAAAGTCTCCAGCTTGGGAAGGACTCCAGTTAAAGGTAGTGTCAGGGGAATTCACTAGCAGTCCAGTGGTTAGGACTCTGTGCTTCCACTGCAGGGGGCACGGGAACTAAGATCCCGCATGCCTCCCAGAGCAGCCCAAAATAAATTAATTTAATTTAATTTAAAAAAAAAAAAAAGGTAGTGTCAGGAGGACTCTTATGCTTAAAACCTTCCAATCTCCTACCTTTGGGGAAAAATCTAAATTTCTTATCACAGCTCACAAGGCCCTACATGATAGGATCCCCTCCTACCTCTCCAACATTATCTCCTACCTGCATTCACTCCACTTTAGCCATGCTACTCTTTCTGCTCCTCAAACACACCAAACTCAATCCTATCTTAGAGCTCTTATATCTCGTTCTCATCGCTCAGATCACACTTCTTTTAGCTCTTTATCCTCTAGGATTCTTCTTGTCATCGTTTGGCTCTCAGCTTGTATATTTTACTTCCTCAGAGAAGCCTTCCTGAGTATTTCCTCATTTAAGGAGTCCCTCATCCAAATCTACCCCCAAGGCATTGTCCGTCATCACATTACCCTATTTTATTTTCCTCACAGCATGGTTTCCTGTTTTACTTTATATTACTTTGTAAACTTATTTTTCTGTCTCCTCACTAGCATGCAAGATCCATAAGAATCTGTTCTGGTTTATTCTTGACTCACCCTAGCACCTAGAACAGTATCATTCATATATGTATGAGGAACATCGATTCATTTGTTCTAGTGCATTCACTTAACTGCACTTTCAAAATAACCTAAGAAAGAGAATTTACATACACAGGAATATCTGTGAACTGAGTTCAACAAGGGGTTGTTCAGCTAAAGATCTATAATGTGCAAAGCTTTCCTCTGAGTATCCACTCATGAACCATCTCTATCACAGGGCTCTAGCTCCTGATGCCTAATGAAAGAATATCTGATTTGGAATCAACGCTTAGCCTTAATCTCCTGCTTCCAAACCCACTGATCATCACCTCACTATGGAGTTTGCATAATGGCTCTGGAGCCAAAAGAGACAAGGGTTCAAATCTCAGTTTTATCTTTTACATGCTATGAGGTCCTGAACAAGTTATCTATTAAATGAAGATAACAATACTTATCTCAGAGCTGTTTTGAAAGTTAAATAATGTAAATAAAACATCTGTCACAGTGTCTTGCCTATAATAAAAATCCAATAAAATTAGCTATTATTCTATTATTATTCATTAATTCACATTTTTTTCCAACTAATTTTTATTGATGTCTACTTCCTAAACAAGAGGCACAGGCACAATTCAAAAGGAATTTACTACAGTCCCTGCCCAGGAAGAGCTCACAGTGTAATAGGAAAAGATAAAGCCATAAAAAATAGATAGAGAGAATTATGTTTTAAGTCTCATCCAAGAAGGCTGAAAAGAATCTGCCCTTCTCTAGCAAATCTGGTATTAGGGCCTAGTTAATCTCTAAAGTAAAAAGGCATACCAAAACCCTTCCAACTGATAAAATGGAATAGCTTTTAAGATGGGTCAGACAGCTCTGTAAAGAAGCCCTCACAAGATTACAAGAAGAATGGTCAAGAATAATTGTCTTAATAGCCAAAAGGTGGGAGCAACTAAGTGTCTATCGACAGATGAAAGGATAAACAAAATGCAGTCTATACGTACAACGGAACGGAATATTATTCAACCTAAAAAGGAAGGAAATTTTGACACATGCTACAACATGAATGACCCTAGAGGACATTAAGCTAAGTGAAGTAACCCAGTCACAAAAAGACAAGTACTGTATGATTCTACTTTTATGAGGTATCTTGAATAGTCAAATTCATAGAGACAGAAAAAATGGTGGTTGCCAGGGGCTGGGAGAGGAAGGAATAAGAAGTTAATGTTAGGTACAGAGTTTCAGTTTGGGGAAATAAAAATATTCTGGAGATAGGTGGTGGGGATGATTATACAACAATGTGAATGTACCTAACGCTACAGACTACAGACGTTAAAATGGTAAATTTTACTTTACGTATATTTTACCACAACTTAAAGAAAAAAAGGAATGATTGTTCTGTAGTTTACAGAAAGAGAGGGTGTGCATCCCTTCTTTTCTGACTTTGATCATTGTTATATCCCATAGCATATCAACCCAGCTTCTCCAGGTTAAGACAAGAGAAAAATTCCTGGGCAGTCCCCATATATAGGATGCTGTGTAACATCTAAGAAATTACAAATACTTAAACATCCAAACCCAGAATTTACAGCAAAACAGACAGACGCTATACACTGACCATGGATTTATTTCCACAAGTGTAAGAGAGGCAGAAAATAAAACAGTATTTATATGTCTAAACACCAGTTTAGGATTATATAAGCTAATTCCTTTATTGCTTCAAATTTTTAAAAAATAGTGTTAATTTGCATTAAACAAAGCAACTTTCATATACTAAACAAAAATGTCACAACCGACAGTCCAAATAATGGCCTCATTTCCTAGTGGCCCAGAAAGACAGGAAATAATCCCAAGGACCCTAGTTCAGACAGACTAGAGAGAGTAGACTGTGCCTATCTTGCATAAAGGCTATGTCACAGTTCAGTGCGATCCTATACTTTGGTAGCTTCCCCCTAGCAGTCCCCTTTGTGACTAAGGGCTAGGATAAGAGTGACGGCTTCACAAAGGCGATAAGAGATAAAGTTTCTTCCTAGCACATTCAAAGACTCCAAAATCCAAAACTTAACTTCTCTGCTGTCCATCCATCCAATTTTCATTAAGAGCAATCTGTATCATCTAGGAAGCTTCAAAGTCAAATGTTACCTTTATTTTTACCTTATCAAACCCATAAAATCACGGCCAGGGTGTGCTCTGGACATGGGCCTTGGTTAAGGTCACAAAAATTCTCAAATCAAATAATTGGGTTAAGTTAGAGCAAAGTTCATCAACAATAAGATGACAGAATTCAGGAAAAGTCGGCTTCCTTCTTGCATTTCAGGAAGGCTAGCATTGTTCCTAATACTAGTACATAGGTGTAAGTAACCTCTGAGTGGGTAATGCCACCAAACAAAAGCAACACCTTCAAAGTCTCTCCCAGTGACTAGAGGCAGCCAGACACTTAAACTGCCAGTCCTGAATTACGGCCTCTGAATGGTGAGGGCTTCACATTTCACTGATCAGGGCACAGCCCAATCAGAAGACAAACCCCTGCACTGCCAGGGACCAGCAAATCCGCTTTCTTCCAGTGTGCACATGACTGAATGTGCTTCTGTCCATCATCTGGGTCATATATAGTTCAATGCGAGCTGAGCAGACAGGGCTGCAAGGAAATCTGGCGCGGTTCAATACCTCATCTAGTCTGGGTTCCAGTATATAATTTTTTTTTTACTGACAAACTCATTTCTCTACCGGGACAGGATGCTGTGCTGGCTGGGAGTTCCATTTCTACAGCAAGAATCCTATCTGGAAACAGAGAAGTTGTCCTCTAAGCCACAGCAGCTCGAACTTTTTTGATTGTTGTTGCTGCTTTCTCCCATCACCCCCACCCCCTTTTGACAAAGATCCAACTGTAAAAAGTCTTACGTAACAGTTCAGGACTACTTCGGTTCTTTTACTGGGTAAGCACTTTCAATTTTTTTTTTTTTTTTTAACTAAAAACCATTTTAACATTGAATCTGTTGAGAGGCTTGACTAAAATCTTTTAAGTAATTTGTGTGGTGAAATACTGTCAGTGGATTTTTTAGTCTCATTTCTGCACGTGCTCCTTTGTTCTCAGAACAGAAGCTTTTTATACACACCCCATAACGCAGCTGGAGAGAGTTATGAAGTCAGTTATTATAAGGAACACAAAGGTTGCTTTGCATTCTTTGCCTTTAGATAATTAATTTTGTATTTGTTTCCTTAAAACGAAGTATTAAAGAAGAGAGAAAGTGAATAAACAAAAGAATAAACTGTTGGAGAATCTAGCAAAGTTTGAAGTTTTTACCACCTTTTTTCTATCTGTAGTTTTGTGTAGCCAAACACTTGTGCTGCCTGGGGCGGTGGGGGTAGAGGCAAGCATAGACAGAGAGGAACTAAGCCAGACATGGACAAAGGCATGAGCCAAAGCCAGACAGTCCTGGCCGTTCGATAGGCCAGCAGTGGGTGAGACAGGTCAGCCAGCTGCAGGGGCGGGAGAGGGGGGAAAGGGGCATGGATGTGTGAGGTGCTCATGCGTGCGATCGTGACTAGATTCTGAAACTGCCAGCCATTTTCCCAGCTATGCTTTGTGCAATCTAAAGGAATGCATCTCCTCTGAAGCAGTCTTGCCAGAGCCCAGTGATAGCGAGGAGTGTGATAAATACCACAACATATGTAATCAGAAAATACTGGGATCTGGGGTGGGCAAGAGGGAATGCAGAGGGTGTGGAAATTTTTTAGTGATCTGGAATGTGTTGAGTGACAGGAAGTGCCCCAAGCTCTCCCCCCCCTCAGCTCTTCTCAGTCGCGCCTGCTTTTGTCTAACTCTTGTAATCTACACACTACTGCTTACAAAGCTGTCTGAGTTTAAGACAAAAAGAAACATAAAAGGCTCTCCCGTCGCACAGTACCTGCAATATGGAAGGAATGTAAAAAGCATGGCCCTTTTTAAGCCTGTGGACATTTTTTCAGGCGTACAGGAGAAAGATAATATAACAATTTCCCAAGGATAATGAAATTATGAATTATAGTCAAGCTTCCAAATCTAATTTTTAAAATCCTGATTCTGCTCTACTTACAAATGCTTAAGTTGGTTCCTAATTTGAAGGAGGCTTGTTTGTTTGGTTAATACATCGCATTTGAAGTTGTTTCTATTTTCTCTTTATAAATTTGTGCTTTGGGAGGAAAAAATGCAAATAAGTAGAATGCTCTGAAAAAAAGGAGATTTTTCCCTTCAATGGTTGGAAAGTATTTTAAAGGGTTGGTTTCTTGGAAAAAGCAGCTCCCTCTCTCTCATTTTTGCAGGTATGCTATAAAGATAACTTTATGCCATTATAAATGTAAGGTAGAAAACTTTTGACAGAAAAAAATAGTGTTCTAAGAGAAAAACAACTTAGCATTTTCCCAGACTTCCATATTATCAACAGAAACACTAAACTTAAGAGAAAAGTAGCCAAATAGTTCAACAACTAACTCTACTTTTGGAAGATGAAATGGAAAATTAAGTGTGAATAAAATGATACTTGGGAATGTTTCTACCTCCTACTACAAAAGATGTTAGTGGTCAGCCCAGGAGTTAATCTTTCCTAGTGTGGCTCTGAGCCTTCATGCCGAGCAGACGTTATTCACATGACGATTCGAAAAGTCCATTCATATATCTCACTACCTGGATTTGAATAGAAACCAGACAGCAATTCTTTAGTTCCAGCCACCATTCGCCCCACTGGACAATAGCGATTTGTTAGCACAGAGTCACAGGCTGTGGGACACAAAGCTTGGAGCTGCAAAAAGATGGGGGATTCAGAGAACAGGAAATTACAGGCCCGATGCACTCACTCCTGGCAGCTTTAAGAATACAAAAAAAAAAAAAAAAAAGGCAACACAGCGATGCCATGTTTAAGAGCTACTTCTAGCGTTTTTAACCACCTCCAATGTCATAAAAGCTCTATTGTTGGAGTACATAAAGTCACGAGTTCCATGTGCTCTCTTTTCTCACTACAGCGAACTTCATTCAATGCCTTGGCATAGTCAGAAAAATCAAAAGCACCCAGAGTCGATTAGTTGTGAGCTCTGATAGAAAGGAGAGGAGCATTTTACAACTAAAATGACAGAGAAAAATATGCTACTTAGTAACACATAATAAAATTAATATATTTTACAAATTATTTCATAAGGCCAGACAATCAAAATGAAACCAAATCTATCAAGACTCCAGGGAAATGAATTTTTCTTCAAAATATCATATGAAATCTACTATTTAATTCCATCAAAAGTTTCTTCAGAAGACATATATCAATTTAAAAACTCATCTTACACAGAACATTTCTGAGTCCTGGGTTGTATTTTCCAAAACAAAGAACTAAAATCAAAGCCCTGAGGATTTATTTTGAAATATTAGAAAGGAAAACTATATTTTCTTTTGTTGGTTATCAAATTATTATAGCTCCCTGGCTAAATTTAGAAACTGTCTCTACTTCCCTCTCTTTAGATATAAAAAATGAAATTAATGGACATTCTAGGTGAGGGGAGAGGGATAATTCTCCAATCTCAATGAGCAGTGGAAAACAGTTCATGGGTTCCTGTCCAGGCCCTCAATCCTCAACCTGAGCATCAAGGGGCCAGAATGGTGTCCATTTCAACAGGAGGAGCCCCTGCACAAGAAAGTTGTAAATGGTTTTGTTCTTCTGTGATCCATTAGCAAACACAAGTCCCAAATGATATCATACCTGAAATACTCATCAAATGAGATCATGAATAATCAAAAAGTGCTTTAGAAATATGAACTGTTGTATTCTACTTGGTCCTATGGCTTTAGGATAAACACATGCCAAAGTTTATGTTGCTGGAAAACCAATCAGCAACTTTTAAACTACTAATTATTGGATTTCCTCAAATTCTATAATTACTCATCAAACACAAGAATCAATTACTACCTCAAACTGTGCTATAATCACATGTGGCTATTTTTATTTGAATTTAGTCAAAATTAAATAAAATTTAAAATTCGGTTCCACAGTTGCACTAGCTACATTTCAAGCACTAAACAGTCCCACGTAACTAGTGGCTATTATACTGGACAATGCAGAAACTGGACATTTCCAACTGCAGGAAGTTCTATTGGACAGTATTGATCTAGAGCATATTTATATCCAGAACACCTGTTTTCAACTGCACATCCAGCTAGACATGAAAGAAAGTGATCTCTAAGCAAAAAATACAATGACAAGACAAGGTACCTAGCACTATGATACTTGAGAGATGTCTAAAAGAGCATTTTGAAAACAAAGGTTTCATTTTTTTCCTTGGTCTGTAATAAAGGTTATGAAGAATATTAAGACGGTAGCAGCAGACAGGTAGCAGTGGCCAGAGTAATTAAAATGTTCCAGAATGGCATTTAGTGTTATGACTACATGTCTTAACCTCCAAATCTACCATCAAATAATCAGACATGATAAACATGAATATGAGGTCCTTCAATTTGGATGCATTCTCAACCCATCCTATGCCTGCTAGATGGAAGAAACTGGGTCTTAGGGTCAAGTGCACATGGGTTGGAATCCTGGCTCTGCCACTTATTTACTATGTGATCCTGAATAAGTCACTTCCTCTCTTTGTCTCAGACTTCTCATGTATAAACCACGAATATTAATGCCTTCCTGACAGTCGTTTTAAGGTTCAAGGATCATATATATAAAAGATCTTGAACTGCTCCTGGCACATTGGAAAACACCCTGGAAATGTCGATTCTGTAAAAACACAGTAAGGGCTTGAGGTTCAATTCATTGTCTGAGACTCTTCCCAAACACAGAGAATGGAAATAGAAGGGTTGCAGGCTGCTTTATAGTACAGGCCATTCTCTGTTTAAATTTTAATTAAAACAAACATGAAGATGAAAGCTGTCAACACTGCACAAAGAATCTCACAAAGTCTTAGAAATATTAGATGAACTGACTGAATGATTATAGGAAAATTATCATTTGAAAAGTGACGTGGAACATCAGATTTTAATATCATGAGGTGTATTTAATACTGATACTAATTTAATGCTATTACATATATAAGAATCCTTTTCTTAAATTAAGAAATAATATTTCCTGGAGACTTTTTTGGAATAAGCTTTCTACTAATTCTTCTTGGTGATTAAAACAGAAACATGAAAATTCTAATATTGCCTATGACTAAGAAATTAAAATAGCCTCCTGCAGGTATGGGAAAGAAAATTCATGTCTTTTAAAATCAAAGCCATACACTTGAAACTAACACAACATTGTAAATCAACTATACTCCAATAAAAAAATTTTTAAATAAAATAAAACCAAAGCCATAGAAGGAATTCCTAGGCAAGATCTATACTACATCTGTAGACTCATTTTAAAGTTGAAAGTAATCTAGCAGAAACTAGAAAAAGTAGGTGTTTCTTAATGATGATGCCAAATAACTGAAAAATGTTGAACGTGCCACAAAATCTTTTCAGAGTACGAAAGGCAAGAGATTTTCCAAAGCAAACAGCAGAACAACATTATAGGGGAGATAATGTGGTACAGTGTAAAATCTGAAAAGGTAGGTTCATAATCCCAGAAACTGGCTGGATTAGATATGACATGAAATTTTAGCTCTGCCACTATCTAGCTAGGCGATTTTTAACAAAGTCACTTCCAAGTCTTTGTTACCAGTAGTGATCCAAAAAACATATCTATACTGGAGGCTAAATAACAGACAGCAATTTCGATTTGCAAGAGGGTATTCAAATATCTATCAAGCCCAGTGCTAGACCCCGGTTGAATGATGAACAAAATAGATACAGAAGCTGCCCTCTTGGAGCTGATAAGCTATTAACTGAGATAACCATGGCTAGAGACCATCTCATTTAAAAAATGGTAGGGATCTGAGTTCAGAAACTTTGAGAATGGACCCAATGATTTGGAGAAACTGCCATGCC